GGATAGAGGTCCCAGTTGCACAGCACTGTGAATGTACTATATGCCACTGAACTGCACACTTGAAGAGGGTTAATTTTATATGAACTCACCTCAATTTTTTAAAAGTACACATGCCAATGCATAGTCTTTGAGCAGTCCTGAATAACAATATACAGTATGCCAAGCTACAAAGATGCCCCACCCTGTGCCCTTTTTACATTACACACAAATAGGGACGGATTTCCTGTAAGCTGATCTTGAAGAAAAAGAAAATGTTACACAAAGAAAATTAGAACTAAGACATCTCCCCCCCCACCAAATAAAAAACCCTCAACACTGTATCTTTGTTCTTTTCCCATGTCCTCTACCCTATTAAAACTAACAAATAATATAAACCCCAATCACTAAGTGTACCTCAGACAGAAAACTTGGTACATAAAAGACCTAATAAAATCTGTCAAGTTTTGTTGCCCCCAAATTGAACAGAAAGATCCAGCAGGCCCTTAAACATATGAAAAGAAGCACACTCTCGCTGGCAATCAGGGGAACTCAAATTAACACAGCTAGTGATCACTTTACACTGCAGAGAGAGAACACTTAAAAAGATTCCTAACACCTGGCAGGGGTGAGGCAAACAGGTATTCTCTATTTTGCAGGTGTGACTCTCCATCTATGCAACTTTTTTGGAGTATCATCTGACATCATGTATGAGTTGTTGACTCCATTTTTAGGAATCTGTCCTTCAAATATCTAAGTAGATACATAAGAATATATGTACAAGAATTTAACTGCAGTGTTGTTAGGAATGGTAGAAGCCTAGAATGCACTTGAAGGTATATCAGCTGGGGAACTGAATAAACTATGGTACGACAATACCATAGGATATTATGCAGCTGTTAAAAAGAGCCACTAGATTCATATTTGATAAAGATAAATGTTGTAACAAAAATATTAAGTAAAAAAGTTGCAGAGTATTGTTTATGATGCCATTTTCATAGAAGAAAAAAATGTCCCCTCTCCATATAAAGGTATATGTTCGTATGTATGTATATGATGTATAGAGAAAGGAAAAGAAACAACCAGAGGAGTGGGAGAAAGACAATCAACTTTTTCTACATTCACCTAAATATTATTTTATGCACTGTCCTATAATTTTTTTATAAGTAGAAAAAGTTTAAATAAACAGGATTTTTTTCTGCACTTGCTTTTTTTTTTTTTTGAGACAAGGTCTTGCTCTGTTGCCCAGGCTAGAGTGCAGTGCCATGATCTCAGCTCACTGTAACCTCTGCCTCCTGGGTTCAAGCGATTCTCATGCCTCAGCCTCCTGAGTAACTGGGATTACAGGTGCACACCACCATGCCCGGCTATTTTTTGTATTTTTAGTAGAGAGGAGGTTTCACCATGTTGGCCAAATTTGCCTCAAACTCCTGATCTCAAGTGATCTGCCTGCCTTGGCCTCCCAAAATGCTGAGATTACAGGCATGAACCACTGTACCCGAACTGCACTTGCCTTTTATATGTGCAAGAAATATGAAGGGGACAGCCCCCAAAAACCCGCTTTGAGGATACATTCTGAAATTAGTATATACTGAACTTTGGTCTTCTAAATTGTATATATTCTGTCCAATGGTGCAACTCAAACTGGGCTCTGCAGACCAGCCCCAGTCCCAGAATAAGCACAGAAACTGAGAGTAGGCCTTTAGAGTTTTTTACAGCAGCTTGCCAGAGTAATTTTATGTCTGTTGACTATAAGAATAATAAATGTTTAATCAGGCTTATGTTTTTCGTTTCTTTAAATTTCATTTTTCTAGTATTTCATTTTTCTAGTAAATCATTTTTATTATATTTTATAAAATTATCAATCCATGACATACTGGAAATTAAAAACAAAACTGGTCCTTCACCCAAGATAATTAGAGAAGCAAAACTCTAAACAATGAGTCAATGTTCATAATAAAAAAACATAGTAATATATTTAGGAACTTTAATAATGAAAGGTTAGATTCTATTGAAAATACATACTAATATATTCAAACTCTTATGAAAAAAGATACTAAATAGATTAGAAGAAAGCTTTCTGGTAATAAGAACAGATTACTAACCATTCTAGGTAAATAATTAAGTTCGTTCTTGTCAGGAAAAATGAACTCTAGTTTCTATTTACAAGTGAAGACTAAGAGAGCTGGAGAACAAATGAAACCCCATACAACTCCAAAACCAACTACCCAGAGTTCAGCCAAAGGCACTTTAACTTTTGCTGAACAAAATTAACTTCATTTTAATTTTTTTTCTCCCCTTTCATCCTTCTGAATGAAGATGCTAATAGCAACAGAAAACAGTTACAGAGACAAGGGGCAGGGTTGGATGTGACTAAGGTCTGACTACTCTGCGCAGACTCTATTTAATAACGTTTCACCTACCAATATTCTATGCTGGGGGTGAGGGGTGGGAAGGAAAGGGAGAGAGCTTACATCCTCCTAAGTCTTCTGAGTTTTCTAAAAGTTCATACACCAAGTTATAGTTACACCCAGAAAAACTGCTGGGAAGAATAAAGAACCAAAAAACATACTTACAGTCCAAAGTAAAAAATATCATTTGTACATACAAGCTTCTTCTCCCCTGCCTAAATTTTTTAAACTAATGCTATAGTGAGGTGCATTTCCAAATCTGGCAGCTTAAATAAAACCAACTGTAACTAGCACTGTGGTGAATGAAATGCTTTACAACTCACAGCTGTGACACTGAAATAAGGAAATCCTGGATTCCCACTAAGGGGTAACCAGCATCAAAAGACAGGGCACATTTTGATGTTTTGAGAATTTCTGAGAAGTCAGAGACAATTTAGGTTATTTTCATATCAGTTGGACTTTACATAATAAAAGAGCCCTAAAACAAAAAGCAGCCCCAAGTGTGGCAGTGCTATATTGTTTGGATTCCTTATAACAGTGTGCTCATAAGACACTTAGAAACACACAGAATAAGCTGATGATCCTGGTGATTGGGACACACGCTGGGCAGCTGTGTGAACTTTCTAAAAATTTTAATTACTTTTTTTTTTTTTTATTTCGATAGTTTTCGGGGAACATGTGGTTTCTGGTTACATGGATAAGTTCCTTAGTGGAACTTCCCTCTGAGTCTCCAGAGTCCATTACATCATTCTTATGACACACTATATTTGGTTTTCCATTCCTGAGTTACTCCACTTAGGATAATGGTCTCCAATTCCATCCAGGTTGCTGTGAATGCCATTATTTTGTTCCTTTTTATGACTGAGCAGTATTTCACGATGTATATATACCACATTTTCTTTATCCACTCATTGGCTGATGGGCATTTAAGCTGGTTCCATATTTTTGCAGTTGTGAATTGTGCTGCTATAAACATGCATGTGCAAGTGTTTTTTTCATATAATGACTTCTTTTCCTTTGGGTAGATAATAGTGGGATTGCTAGATAGAATGGTAGTTCTACTTTTCATTCTTTAAGGAATTTCCACACTGTTTTCCATAGTGGTTGTACTACCTAAAAAACTCTAAAGACTCATTCAAAAAGCTCCTAGAATTCAGTAAAATCTCAGGAGGCAAAATCAATGAACACAAATCAGTAGCACTGCTATAAACCAACAGTGACCATGCTGAGAATCAAATCAAGAACTCAATCCCTTTTCCAACACTTGCTAAATAAACAAATAAAATACTTAGGAATATACCTAACCAGGGAGGTGAAAATCTCTACAGGGAAAACTACAAAACACTGCTGAAAGAAATAATTGATGGCACAAACAATGGAAACACATTTCATGCTCATGGATTAGAATCAATATTATGAAAATGATCATACTGACAAAAGCAAACTATAGATTCAATGCAATTCCCATCAAAATACTATTATCATTCTTCATAGAACTAGAAAAAACAATCCTAAAATTCATAAGGAACCAAAAAAGAGTCCACGTAACCAAAAGAACAAAAGCAAAAAGAACAAATCTAGAGGCATCACACTGCCCAATTTCCAACTATACTACAAGGCTATAGTTACCAAAATAGCATGGTGCTGGTAATAAAAATAGGCGCATAGACCAATGGAACAGAACAGAGAATCCAGAAATAAAGCCAAACACAGCCAACTGATCTTTGACAAAGCAAACAAAAACACAAAGTGGGGGAAAAAATGCCCTATTCAATAAATAGTGCTGGAATAATTGGCAAGCCACATGTAGAAGAATGAACTGGATCTTCATCTCTCACTTTATATAAAAATCAACTCAAGATGAATCAAAGACTTTAATCTAAGACCTGAAACCATAAAAACTCTAGAACATCGGAAAAACTCTTCTAGATATTGGCTTAGACAAAAAGTTCATGACTAAGAACCCAAAAGCAAATGCAACAAAAACAAAAATAAATAGCTGGGACCTAATTAAACTAAAAAGCTTCTGCATAGCAAAAGAATTAATCAACAGAGTAAAAAGACAACCCAGATTGGGAGAAAATATTTGCAAACTATGCACCCGACAAAGGACTAATATCCAGAATCTACAAGAAACTCAAATCAGCAAGATAAAAGCAACCTCATCAAAAAAAGAAAAAAAAGAAAGAAAGAAAAAACATTGTTTATGGAGTTCAGAGCTTGGATATTCAAGTATTGACTGCAGTTTTATTTTTAAAAGAATGCTACAATTTATGTGGTTTTTCTCATGTTTATATTAAAAGCTAATAAATTCTAATTTAAAAAACCATCAAAAACTGGGCAAAGGACATGAACAGACAATTCTCAAAAGAAGATATCCAAATAGCCAACAAACATAAGAAAAAATGCTCAACATCTCTATTAGGGAAATGCAAATTAAAAGCACATGAGATACCATCTTATTCCTGTAAGAATGGACATAATTGAAAAACAAAAAATAATAGATGCTGATGTGGATGTGATAAAAAGGGAACACTTTCACACTGCTGGTGGGAACGTAAGCTAGCTGTGTAAACTTATGAAACAAAGACCAAGCTGAGGTCCTTGCCTCACCTGCTCTGCTTCAAGGGCTCATCAGCTTGGCCCCAAATGATGTCTTCAGTAGGTGGCGAAATGTTAAAACTGGGAGCTATGTGAATGAACGCGCTGAAAGACAAAACACGATAGAACAGTTAGGTTATTGTAAGAAAACATAGTATTATGCAACCAAGTGCTGTTAACCAAGTTCCTTCTTGGCTTGACATTGAACTACCTGCAAATTTAGTGCTTAGAAAAGGTCCAGGGACTTTCCTCTGAGGAAGAATTCAGCAACACCACAGTCCTTCATGCAACTAGATTTCACCTCCCCATGCCACCAAGACTTACTGTGCAGGGTACAAATGGCCTTCTTCCTTGTCAAATCTTATGTCCCCCTTTCACTCTTGTTCTCCTTGACTTCTTTGTAGTATCTGACACTGTTCAGTAGTTTTCTTTTTTTCTCTTTTTATTCTTCTCTCTCTCCTGCTTCTTTTATGGTTTCCTGCTCCTCTTTCTCCTTCTGCTTCTCGACCAAGGACACTTTTTAAGGCCCTGGGTTTTTCTCTCTTTCTCTCTCAGAAATCATCTATTCCCAGCGCATCAATTCTCTCCTTGCAGATAGCCCCCAATCATCTCCATTCCCTCCCTTGAACTCCTCTCCTTTATTCTCAACTCTCCAGTGAGCCATCTTTCCTGTATATGGTATCTCTACTGCATATGCTCATTCAAAAGCCTTCATTTCTTGCTGCAACACTACTAACTGTGGAAAAATGTGCTTGTCTATTGACCTCATTGATTTCTGCAATAGCAGAATTATCCTCCCAGTCAACCAAGCTCCAAATCTTAGATTCATTTTTGCTCATTCTCTCTTCTTCAATTCCAGTCATTCATCAAGGCCTATTGATTCGTTACATCTCACTTCTATCTCTTGCTACCCACTTACACTGACCAGATCCTGCTTAGCTGAGGAAAAACTCCTCTTCTTTCCTAATGTTTCCTCTTGTCAAATTGGCCAGCGTGCTGTGCTGCTGCCATTTTGATCTTTCTATCACTACCCCTGCCATTTTCATCTTCCTCTTGCTATCCCCAGCAATTCGAGAATCCTTACCGTCCCTCTAACAAGCAGCCTGCATTGCCTGATAGAGAGAAAACAAGACAGCAGAGTAGCTAAGAACTCAGGCTCTGGATCCTGGTGGCCATGCTTTGAATCACAGTTCCGCAACTTAACTGCTATGTGCCTCAGTCTCCTCATCCCTCAATGAAGGTCAGGTGCAGTGGCTCACACCTCTAATCCCAGCACTATAGGAGGCTAAGGCGAAGGAGCGCTTGAGGCCAGGTGTTCAAAACCAGCCTGGGTAACATAACGAGATCCTGTTCCTATGGGAAAAAAAATTAGCCAGGCATGGTGGCACACACCTGTAGTCCTGGCTACTCAGGAGGCTAAGGCAAAAGGATCACTTGAGCCCATGAGTTCGAGGCCACAAAGAGCTATGATCACACCACTGCACTCCCGCCTGGGCAACAGAGCAAGACTCTGTTTCTAAAAAACAGGGGGGCAGGGGGGACTTGATAACATCTCCTTCAAAGGCTTGCTGTGAAGATAAGAAGAGTTAAAAGGTGTGAAGAACTTAGAGAAGTGCCTAGCACAGTGAGCACTCCATTAAGTGTTGAATGGCAATGGCTCCCAGCTGGACCGGCCCACACAGCATCTCCTAAACCTGTGTGCTCACCTTTCCTTTGTTATCAGTGCGGAAACTCTTCTTCTCTTGGCTCCTCTATACATATTCTACCCATTGTCAAGGCTCAGGTCTGATTTCCCAGTCAGCCAGTGGTAAATCTGAGTACTTCAGCTGCAGCCTAGCTTTTTTGCTTCTGAACTTCTAGAATATTTACTAGATGTCCCCAAATCAAGTTGTTTTTTAAATTACAGAGTGTGGAGGGCAGCTCACATGCTGGAAATTACTGGTGATGAAGCCGGAGGTCTTGCTGTTTCCTCTGGGTGCCCCTAAGTGAGTAATGTCTCAGAACCCCAGCTTCTTTCTCTGAAAAAGTTATTATCTTATTTATAAGGTTTCCTCAAAGATGGAATAAGAACATGTAATGCTCCTATCATATAATCAGGCATAAACATTGGTTCCCTTCCAGTGGGACTATAAACCTCCAAGGGTAGCTCACGTTTCTCCGTGCTCCAAGGACAGTAGTATGCAAAGATTAAACAGACAGGGGGATACGGACTGAATAAACGAAAACCTTTCCAAGTCTAATGATTTTATGACAATATTCTGAAATGGGCTTTTCCATGCCTATTCTAAATAACTGAAAGTGCTTTCATCATAAAATGCATTTTAACACACTTAATCTTCCAAGAACATACGTTGATTCTATTGCCCTAATGAGGGAATATATTAGCTACTTAACCTTTATCTAACTCTTACATAATATTAAGATTTTTTTTTAAGATTCATTTTTACAAAACCCAGAAAGTCCACATGCAAACAACAAAAACCAAACAAAAAAAGGAACACAAAGTAATTGAAAAGATTTTTCATACCTAAAAAGGGAATTTTTAATCACAACCTTAGTCATAAACCTCAACAGGCAAGTCAGAAGCAGTGAAAGATAAAAGTGCCAACAAGAAAATCCGGTTGAAGTGCCACTCAGGTTCATGCAGTGGGTTACAGGGCGCACAAGACAAGCTGGCGGAAGTGGGTGCTGTACCTTTATCACGGCCGCCCCCACCTGACCACCTGTAGCAGCCTCAGAGGAAGCAGACAACCCCCACACACTTTCCAGCTGCATCTTGGCAGCCACAAAGTACGCACATACAATCAGCTAACGTATAAAAGTATATCAGAAGCATCAATGTGAAAAGGGAAAAAATCTTTAACTCGTGATGAGTAACCTGTGTTATTTAGATTCTGTCATTGAGACCCGATGCTAAGCTAAGGGGAGACCCCTCTAAAGACACCCACACAACCCTGATAACTGGCAGCATAAGTGCATAATCTTTGCATCAAATACCTGGGGCACTGAAGAGGCTGAAGCAGCAAATCCTTTGGTAGAGGGTGAGGACCAAAGGGGGTACCTCAGAGGCTGCAGTTCCTCCCCCTAGTGTTCAATGACAAATGGAAACATGTCACTGGGTCCAAACGCAGGGAGGACTAGTCTTTGCTTTGGCACCAGGCTAGACAAAGAAAAGACCCCTTGCCCCGTGACCCCACATTGTCCTACAAAGGAAAAGGCTGGATTTTGTTGATGAATGCAATTCACATGTTTGGAGCAGTGTCATTTGAAGGGACTGCTTCAGAAATTCATGCAAGTCACATGAGTGGAGAGAAAACAGGAAAAAATTAAGAATGGTTGTTTACAAGTCACTTCTAAAACTTTGCTTTGTTCTACTTGAAGAATTTTTATCATCATTTAAAGCAGTTAAATTAAAATGCACCTGCACTGTAAATCGTGAGAGAACATACCTGCTCTTCAAATATGACTCGAAAATTATTTGGTTTCTCCCCTACCTCCTCCTACCTGTGATGCTCTCATTTTACATTTAATTTGGAAAATTAGAAGAAAAATGGAATAAGCTCAAATCCTAACCAAAAATTGTTTTTACTTTTAAAATACAATCATTTTAGAATTTTTAAATAAATGTAAAATATTTTATTACTTACGTGTTTAATAAAGGAGAGAGGGAGGGAGGAAGGAAGGAAAGAAAGAAGGAAGGAAGGAAGGAAGGAAGGAAAGAAGGAAGGAAGGAAGAAGGGAAGGAAGGAATCAATGGGCATTAAAGAAAAGTGTAACTTTTAAACCTACTTTCAAATACACCCAGTATTTGGAGGTCAGAGTAGTCACACTTCACCAACTTTATAAAGGAGAGGCTTTTAATAAATGCAAGGAATGTCTACCACAGTAATACATGTGTAAAACGTTTCATCTGACAGCCATGTTCTAAGTTAAAGTTATATTTCCTACTCTGAAATAATTTTAATTTATGGCTAACAATGGTAACAAATGTTTTCATTGAAGCCCAAGAAAGTATGAGAGTAGTTATTCCCATATTCTCATTTTCCATGTAACATGCCTAGGGACATCCTGAATGAGAGCACAGAAAAAGTGGAGGATTTCTCTGCCTACTCTGCTTAAGATCAACACCACTTATAAATCTAAATATAAAACGCACACCTTTAAATGATCACCATTAATGTTAATAAGCATTAAAGGTAGACACTGAAGTCTTCTGTGTTGGCAAACCCTAGAACTACATTTTCATTCAGACAGGTTGCCTCTGGATAAATGTCTATCTTAAGATTTTTTCTAAAAACAAGTAATGGTATTTGTAATTGCCTTCTTTAAAAGAATGCAAATTCCATTGCCTGCAGATTATGCTAAGCAACAGAGTGAGAGAGAGGAGAAATTTCAGTAAAATTTTGAGAACCGTAGTTTGCATTATAGATTTTGGAATGTACCTTCCTGCCATTTAACCCAACCCTATTTTCTTATTTCCTCGTAAATACACTTCCCAGTTATTAATCCCTTATTAAACCCTGGGACAACAGTCATTTTGGTACCAATCACACCTTAGTTTTCCACTATTACCTGCTAAAAGTTCTCTTGGAGAAAAAAAATATAACTGTAAGAGAAACCTGAGTGATACAACTTCAGTATTTTAACATCCTAACCCTTTCAAACTCTTTCTATATGAGAATTGACTATTTTCATCCTCCCTTGAAAAAATGTGTTCGGGCATTAAAATTCCTCTACCTTGGACCTTCTTGTAATGGCTGCCTAAGTATTTACTTTGATATACTATTCAAGAAACCAATAGTTTGAGGTTTTCACTTCTTTTCTTGAAAAGAGTATCACAAAGTCAAATTTCAGCCTCATCTACAAGACATTTAAAAATCACACTGCTTTCCTGATTTAACTCCTAAATATGCCCAACACAAATAATTACATGTGTTCATATGAAGATACGTTCTAGAACGTTCAGTCACAGTGCTATACAAACTAATAAGTAGTGGTATAGTCACACAATATAATACTATCTAGCATGGAGGATGAAAAATCAACTACCATAGTCAATATGGTGTCATACACAATATGAGTTAACTGTGCATATTATCGAGTAA